TACTAAACCCTAAACTCNNAATCCTAAAACCTAAACCCTAGTTTCCATTTTCTTTTCATTATCCCTATATAACCCCAATATATACCCTATTATAATGTAGCAGTTCCCATTTTCTTTTCCATTACCCCTATATAAACATATATCCTTTTAGCCCCTTGGGCCTGACTGGGGAGTGCCTTGTATTGGAATCTCCCATTTGGGTTGCGGGTTTTCAGAATTTTCCGTTCCACATCGGAGGGTTTAGGGTTTAGGATTTAGGTCACTTGGCAGCCGTTCCGTTGCTGCTGGAGGCGAACTCTGACAAGGATAAAGGCCAAAACAGTGGCGCAACTCCGGTGTTCATGTAAGACGAGTGCTGTTGTCACTCATTTCAATATGGGTTAGTAGTAGAGGAGGAAGGAATCAACCGCATGATAGACCCTATATTATCCCCCAAATACAGTCGTTTCCATCTTGTCTTCCATTCCTTCATTCCTAGCTAGCAACCAGCAACCCGTGTGTGCACCCAAAGGCGTTGTTCCCGTAGACTTCAACCATTTGCGGTTTTTGCGATCCCGAAGCCAAGCTGGAAAATGCCCAGGTTCTAGCCTGGTGATGACTTGCAGCCCTGTATAGCTACCACCATGCTATTCATGTTTCTCCCGATATGCAGGCCAAGTTCCTGAAGGTATCATAAAAATTTCAAAATCCTCCCTTCAAATCTGAACCCTTCTGATATAGAAACGTTCAGCACAAGCCGGTGGATTCCAAACTTCGGCAAGTTCAATGCATCCCACCAAACAAATCCGTTTTATGCCGTTCCCAAATCTTTTCCGCACGCTCATTTCTTATTCTCGCCAGGCCGGGGCCTCAGACTTGCAGTGCCGTGAAACAAATTAGGAGAGTCCCGTTTGGGGGCCCCTATAACGAGGATTATATACTATTTTGGATATTAAGAATCCTGCATGTACTTTATGCCTCGGGGATGAGAGCATCATAACCTACAAAGGCCATGAAGGTTTTCAAAATCCACAGATATTTTGGGGCTACATCATCGAGGGTGCTCCCCTGTTTTAGGAAAGTCCCTGGTGCAGGATTACATGCTCTGGCCAGTCAGTTAAGCCCTTGGATTCTTTGGGCGGTTCCTAAACTAGGGGTACTTCTTTGGGGGATCCTCATAATAAGGATGCTAGTGGATTGGCGTCTGTTTGGGGTCCCCCTATTTTGCGAAACTACCATTTTGTGGTTACCTAAACCCTTCCGGTGACGCCACATACAGCGGAGTTGCGACAGTTTATGCAACCTTATTCTTGTCAGCGTTTGCCTCCAGCAGCAAACGAGCGACTTCCAAGTGACCTTCCTGTGACGTCATGTACAGCGGAGTTGCACCACTGATTTTGGCTTTATCCTTGTCAGCGTTTGTCTCGAGCAGCAAATCAGCGACTTGCAAGTGACCTTCCTTTGACGCCACCAACAGCGGAGTTGCATCATTGTTCTGGGCCTTATCCTTGCCGGCGTGTGCCTCCAGCAGCAACCGAGCGACGTCGAAGTGACCGTCTAGTGACGCCATGAACAGCGGAGTCGTACCATTGTTGTTGGTCTTATCCTTGTCGGCGTGTGCCTCCAGCAGCAACCGAGCGACTTGCAAGTGACCCTTCTGCGACGCCATGAACAGCGGAGTTGCGCCATCGTTCTTGGCCTTATCCTTCTCAGCATTCGCCTCCAGCAGCAACCGAACGACTTCCACGTGGCCACCCTCGCATGCCCAATGCATCGGGGTTGGGTCACCGTTGCCGAAGGCCCTGTCTATGGCAGCATTGGCCTCGAGAAGCAAGCGGGCAGCTTCAGCATGGCCTCGAACACATGCACAGTGCAGAGCAGGTGGCAATCCTCCGACTTCCAAATCTGGATCCTGTGGCCTCTGCAAGAGCTGCTCCATCGCTTGGATGCTGTTGCCGTTGGCGGCGTCTTGGAGGTGCCGGATTTGCTCCTCGAAGCNNTGGACATCTGTTGGCCCTGTGAACACAAAATCATCCGACAACATGTGACCATCCAGAAGCAGCAGCCGTTGCTTGAAGCGGGAATGCCCGCTGACACGCTGCACATGGCACTTGAGAGCTCGTGCCCTGTCTGGCCGTTCACTTACAGGGGCCATCGCCACGAATTCGTCAAATCCAATCGCGAAGACTTCTTCACCCGAAGCCTTGAACACTCGCAACATCCCGCCAAGTGATGGCGCAAGCTTAGAGACGGGCCTCTCTTCCGCTCACAAGATTTGCTCTTTACGTTATTGGGGAGACTGACGTGAGCGCCCTAAGCCGGCTGTAAGAACCCCAAATAGTTGCAAAGATCCTTTTAAGGTCTAGTTGAAGTACCCTATACCATATTCCTAAGCAGAACCTGAGACCATGATATTTGCATTGATTTAGCCCTCTTCACTTTTCCACAACAACCTTCAACTGTAACTGACAATGAGCAACAAGCCGCCACTCGCAAGGTTCAAAAGGGCATAGGGTACCTACACATACTGAAGAATCCTGAAAAATGAATAGCATCACGGTATAATCCTTATGTAGGTGTGGTACACTGTGCTCCATAACCCTATTCTACGCGCTTAGGCCTCTACTTTTGTCGAGGACATGCATACGATTTGACACATGCCGTGGGCAATTAAGCGACGCATCAACCCCAAAAGCGAGCCCAACATCTGTCGTGCTTGGTCTAGGTCTGCCTCTGCAGGGTATGACCGCAAGGTCCAAAGTAAGCAACTGTCCTATATCGATCCCTGAGGTTTTTGTTTTGGCCTTGTTTATCCTCATCTGACAGTTTACAGATACCCCATACCCTCCCAAAATTAACATGAACACCCTTTGGTCCCCACTTCCAATAGACTACCGGGGACCCTTTTTCACGTTGCATTTTAATTGGGGGAGTGTACTGGAAGCATGGAAGCATGAATTTCCAAAAACAACTAAACTCCGAACCATCAAACCCCACGAAGCCCAAACCCTGCCACTATTTCTTGATGCACCGATGTTGCTACACCAATTGCTGGGCTAGGCAGGTACATTGCGAAACACGAGTGCTTTCTGCCATAATCTGGGTAGCTCCCCAAATTAGGGTCCCATTTTGGTTTTAGATTATATTCCGGCACCTAATATTGAGCGTTACCAAAATGGGACCCTAATTTGGGGAAATGCCCAATTTTGCTAAGAGGCTGTAGGATATCACCTGGTTCTGCCTTGGATTTTTCCCTACCTACGGGGCTGCTGGGGACTGTAACTAAGCTACCAACAGAAGCGGGCGATGTAGTGGATAATTTGGCTTTGATTATGTGTGTACTTTTGTCTCTAGCAGAAACTCTAGATGTCTAGGGTCTAGGGCGTAGGATTTAGGGTTCAGGGTTTAGGGTTGAAGCGCTTGGTAGATTGCATAAACCCAAACAGAAACAAAGATAGCCCCACAACATATCAAATTTTGTACTGCGGGGACCCCCAAAGAAGTACCTCTGATTTTGGGAAACCTTAAAACGCTGTAAAACCCAATATACGCCTACGTAACTCTGCATACATCCCCTATAACCCCCGTAGGGGTACGCCTGCAGAGCTTTTGGCAACATCCTCGGGTCAGCAGTGTGGTGCAGGAGCTCACAAAGACTGCCGCTGAAGCAGTCTGGAATCAGGAAGGACCAGCTGCCACTATGAAGAATCAAACAGAAAAGGAAATGGGAAGTAAAATGGAATCTAAGGTCATATAGGGGTTAAAAAGGAACATGTAAGGGAATGGAAAAGAACATGGAAGTTGACGACGTGCGTTGGCCAAGCGGCCTGCCAACCGCTTGTGCTGCCTCGCAAGAGGAAATGGGGTCAGGGTTGTATAGTCCCCCTTAAGTAGATAGAATATGGGTATATGGGGATCTTATTGTAATATACCATATTCTATCTACTTAAGGGGGACTATAGGTGGAAAAAGTAGATTACCTAGCTTCAAGGTTCTCCAAGTAAAGGGTTTGGGGTTAGGGGGTCTGGAGTTTCAGAGCCAAGGGCTCAGAGGTTCAAAGTTTAGGGCTCAAAGTTCAGGGCTAGGGGGTTCGGATTTTTCTCAGCTCAATGTTCGGGGCTAGGGCCCTAGGGTGAAGCATACCCTTCGCACCGCTTTTTAAAGGGATTAAGGTTTGAGGGTTTGGGATAAGGGGGCTTCTCAAGATAGGTACCCTTAGGGGCACTAGGGGCGCTGGAGAATCTTGGACCAAATGGGTCTCCTGCGCACCGCAACTTGGGCTCTGGACAACAGCATTTAGCACCCTGACGCAAATCCGCTGGGTCAACCTAAGAACCAGTAAGCAACATGCCTCGATTTTCCGCGTTTTCTGCGAGCTTCCGCGGGTTTCGGCGAGCTTCTGCTACCAGGATTTTCGAAAATTTTCTGAGCTCTCAATCCCTCCACAAGATAAAATTAGAGATGATGGGAGCTCATTCACACCGGACTTGTGCCTGATATACAGGGGATGTGTCCAAGAAATCGCATCGCCTCTACAGCCTCTTCCTATATACGTATATATACACGTATATATATATATGTATATATGTATATGCATAGATATATGCGGTAGCCTCCCAAAAATGGGGAACCCCATGATGGACCCAAAAATGGTATAGTCCTTATTGTAAGGACACATCGAATTTGAGAAAGTCTCCATATACTAGTAGCAAGCACAAACCCCAGGACCAAGCACTAAACCCTAAACCCTAAATAGTAGTTTCCATTTTCTCTTCCATTACTGAACCCTAGAACCCCCATAAGACTTGGAAACTCCCCTGCCGCGAGTCGAAGCACAAGCCTCCAACTCACGCACGTGCAAGAAGCATGGCTTTGGCACCCTCTGGTGTCAAAGCCAGTGAATTAGAGTATCCTTTCCGTAGATAGAATATCAAATTGCCCAAGATTATACTAAGATCCCCACATACCCCATATTTTGTCTACTTCAAGGGGAAGATATGAGGAGGCCAGCTGTTCTGGGTTCACATACCAGCCACCTTTTCACAGTCGACCGCAGGTGGGACGACGACGTTCGGGAAGTCGGGTGCCTTCCGGTCCACCCTTGCAAAGCCACGGCAGTAGAGCTCTGGCCTCAGGTACGCCAACTTAAGCTTCCCGGCCCTGAGCCCCATGACGCTGGTCGCCACGCTGAGGAAAGTAATCAGGCCCGCCCCAGACAAAAGGAGGCCTGGGCCATAGACTGACCACCTGGGTTGCTCTTAAGGAACTTAAATTAAGTTACCATCATGGGTAGCAATAATCCTTAATGGGTTTCCCCAATACAGCAACTTAAGTTCAATTCCTCAACAGCAACCCAGCCACTGTAGGGAGGCTTCAGCCACCAGGGGGGCAAAGCCCCCAAAGAGCCCGAAGCCCACATTGTAGCTGATGCCAACCCCCAGGTTCCGTACGGAGGTGGGGAAAAGCTCGGCGCAGTACATGAAGACTACCGTGCCCACCATAGCACCAATGAGGCCGTAGCCAATGCCTTGCTGGTTGTTGGTATCCAGACCCCCTAAAAAAATCCAAAGAATGGAGCCCCCTGATGATCCCCTAGTTTCCCCATGTAATAATGGGTTCATATTCAAGGGGCTCCATTTTTTGGATCCTTAGGGAGTCGGGGTAAGGAATGCAGGCGTGGATGCTTAATGTTCTGCTTCCATTCCTTCGTTCTCCAAATCCTTAAACCCCAATCATCAAGTAGTCTCCATTTTCCTATCTATTCCTTATGCAACCAGCAAGATGCTGTAGGTAAGGAAGAGGTTGATCAGGCTGTCTGGGTAGGTCGCCAGGAGGATAAACAAGGGAAAGCCAGCGCAGCCAAGCACTGCGCCGCTGAGAAGGGTCACGAAGGCGACGCCGTAGATGTCAGCAAGCCAACCCACGAAGAAGGACACCACCATTTGCAGGAACCTTCGGCGGGGGTGTTTTGAAAGATGAGTGGTGCCCTTAGGGGCCTTATGGATATGGTAATTTACCAAAATAGGGGGACCCCAATATAGACCCCAAAATACTATAATCCTTACTATTGGGACCCCCAAAATGGTACCCCTAATTTTGGGAAACCGCCATATGTTGGGATTAGAGTAAGATCACGGGAGGAGTCCTCTGAAGGAGCTCTAGATCGAAGGACGCACAGGTGACTTGCGCCATCAGGATTATATGGGGGATACATTGGGATAATGGAAAAGAAAATGGAAACTACTATAATGGGTTATATAGGGATATAGAGGGTTTAGGGCCCCTTAAGTAGATAGAATATGGGGTAACATCATACGGAACACAGGGCCTTCGTTCCCTGCATACTGAACACGGCAGAAAACAATGGGTCTAGGATTTACAGCAGAGGTTGTAGGATCTAGGGGTCTAGGACCACTTGTGCGGCAGTGAAATGAAAACCGATCAAGCAACCTGGCACAGATTCCGGCTGACATCACAGCATTGGGCGAAGCGCCATGCTTCTTCAGAAATGAATTTGTCCAGACCATGCCACCATATTGAAAGACCGCAAAGGCAATGACACCTCCTATTCCGATGAAGACGTTCAAAACGTGTTCCTGAGCTGGACGTGTTTCCATGGCCCTAAGGCGGACTGTTAGAAAGAACACGAACAGCACCCTTACAGATCGGTGAATGCTGAGGATTAGAGGTGCGAATGCATTTCTTGCTACCCTCCCGGAAACTAACATGGAAACCCAAAAAGGGCCCTATAAAGACTACAGTCCTTTAAAAGGGGGGCTATATGGGTTTCCATGTTAGTTTCGGGGAGTGTACTGAGGTGAGGTTCGGAGAGGAAGACTCTCAAGTACTGGCTGCTGGAAGCTCTGCTCACCTCAGCTCCCTCGACTTTCCCCGCTGCCTTCTGACTCTCGAAGGCCTCCGGGCATATCTGACAAGAGGGTTCTAACCTCAACGCCCCAACATTCGGTAGTCTCCCAAAATAGGGGACCCCCATTGTAGACCCAAAATACTTGAATCTTATTATGGGGACCCCCCAAAAGGTACCCTCCAATTTTGGGAAACCCCAATTTGGATCCTATACCTGATGTGGTCCTACTATTGGGTCTTGGGGTTGCCCAAAATCCTCTAGAATATAGGGGCTATATGGGGATAATAAACTACCCTAAACCCTAAAAACCCT